AAAAAATAAAAAGTAATATTTAATATTTGAAACTATTTTTATATAAATTACTCTACAAAATAAAGCAAAAGAAACAAAGACTAATTTCATTAGAAACATTGAATCATTTTTTTATACTATTTAATATCACTCTACTATACATTTTTCAAGGTAAATGATAGAAAGGATGAATTGTGTAATAATAATAATTTGATGATAAAAATTTAATCTAAATTCATATTTTGAGTATATGTATGTTATATACTGGATATGTAATTATTAAATATTAAATTATTAATAAAACAATAATTTTATTTAATAAATATACATTTTTTATGTTTATTATTTATTAATACTATTCATTTATTGTTAAAGAACTAAATATTAAACAACTATTTACTACTATTAAATGCACAAATTAAATATTTAGTTCTTTTTTTAATAATTATTATTTATATATATATTAATTATAGAATATGTTAAACTTATTTATTAATTAATTATTTATATATTAAAATTATCATATATTTAGAAATTTTTATTTGAACAATAAAAAATAAAAATACTTCACAATAGAAATATAATTATGACATAATATAATTACATAATAAAGGCTACCCTCATATTGGAAGTGAAAAAAGAGATCATTTAATATATTGTAATGTTAATACTTGTTATATAACATAAATGAAAAAATTCTTGAATCTGATTCAAATAAACCATAAGGATATTTTAAAAATGTAGATGAATCTTATCTTCTTATACTGTGCAATGAAATGGAGTGTAATAACTTTAGCTTTGATAATAGAATTATTTATAATGGAAATGTCCTATGGTCAACTATTTAAAGACTCCCATAATGAAAAAAGATATTTATTCACAATTTGTTTAAATAATAATAGTAAATCAATAATAGCTTTATGGAATCATTAACATTCAGAAGAGTATGTTTCAAATAAAAATGACATTAAAATATTTAATACTATTGTGAAAAATATGAAAATTATATTTGACGAATATTTTGTTCAATTTATTGATGAAAACTTTTCTCAAGCTTGTAATCCGCAAAATGATTATAACTGTAAAACAGAATAATTTTTTTATTTTATTTAATTCACAAGAAATTATATTAGGAAATAAATGTCTATAAGTAAATTTAATTATATTTATACATTGGTACTATAATAAAAAAATACTAGTTCTTTTTTATTACTTTATTATCTAAAATAAAAAAGAAGATTCAATAGGAAATGACTCACATTTAATTAATATATATATTTATAAATACAAGTCCGTCACTTTTACTTAATAAAATAAAAATAACCATAGAATAATTATGTAATAATAAAATTCAATAAAATTAACTTTTTTCTTTTTTTTTATGAAGTTTATTAAAATTAAATAAAATGATATTAATGTAAAAGTACAAATAAATATATATACATTAATAAATATAATAAAAATATTATTTAAAAAAAAGGTTAATACATGAATAAATAAAAATTACATTTATTTGATTTTCAAAATAATAAATTGAATCTAGTAAATATAGTTTCATTGTTAATAATTGTAATAAAAATTTTATATAATTATGGAAAATGAAAAAATAAAATAAAAAATTATATTTGTTAAAAATAAAAAAGTTATTTATTACTTAAAAATTGTATATTTTAAAACCTTTTAGATAACAACTATTATTACAAAAGGTGGTGGAATGTTTTTATGATTAAAATTAAAATTCCTAACTAAAAAAATAAAATTATTTCTTTGTTATTTCTTTATAATTTATATATTATATATAATAACGATGAAAAATTTTCTTTGTCACTTATTCCTAAATATAAAAATCTTGCTATATAATAAGGAATAGTATATAAAAGGATAGTATTGAATTTAAAATTTATTTTCTTTGTTATTTGGATTCCTATATATGGTGTATTAATATACATATAAATATTTATAATAACTAGTTATAATTTTTTTAAATAAGAGTTTCTTTAAAAGAAACAATATTTAAAAAAGTATATTTAATTCGAAAAAACAAAATATTGATTTTTTTTTTGAATATAATAAATGTAGTATATTTATTATAATATAGTAATATAGTAATGATGAGAATGTAGAGTACACATTATGTAAAGTTTATGAATTAGTAATAGTTAATACATAAAAAAATAAAAAAATAATAGTTTAAAAAGATGTTTCTGGTATTTGAATTTTTAAATAGAATTAGGGAAGGAAAATTACAGATTTTAATTTTTATTTCTATTCTATTAATCAAATAAAATATTTAATTAAAAATACATAATAGTTTAAAAAAAAATAAAAATTTATAATATTATATGGGTCACTTTATATATCGATAATTATTTATTTAAATGTCAATGAATGGATTAAATTAAAAATTATGAAATGTCAATATGAAAAAGAATGAAAAATTAGTTCTTTTATGGGCTGAAATTTATTAATAATTCAGTTTTGTTACAATGATATTATATTAAAATAATTATATGTATTAGAAATTTTAATTATTTAATTTTTTTTTATTATTATTCATATTAAACCATTTAATGATTTAATATTAATATATAATAATCTCTTTTTTTCTAAACTGTATGCTTTATTTTATTTTTTTGTGTTTTTGAACTTTTAAATAAATATACTTGTTTTTTAAGATATAAATAATAATAATAAAATAATTTTATTCTTAAAATTAGGAATTTATATTTATAAATTATGAATTAATTATCTTAAAAAAAAAAATTTTTTTAAATCCATAGAATAAAATATATATAGTAATATTTTTTTTTCAAATTCGAAATACTAAATTCTAGGAAACATAATAGTAAAATATAATAATAAAATATTAGATATAAATATTAATATTAAAATTTTTGTAATATCAGATAAAATTTAACAAATGAATAATTTAAATATAATAATAATATTATAATACTCTTTATAAAATATTTTTTTATAGTAAAATATTGCTAGTTAATAATATATATTTAAACAATAATAAAGATATCATTAATAAATTTAATCAAGATAATAATTAATTAATAATAAAATAAAATTTAAAACATATTTATATGGAGAAATATTATAATTCTAATAATTTATGGTATTTGAGGAAATATCGTATCACTTTTACGTGTAACAGATACCTGGCTAAACGATACCTATCCAAAGATATTACGTTACTACGATAATATCTTTGGATAGTCAATTATAATTAATTATAATTGTTAATCTAACTAAATAATATTTATTTATGAATTTAATTATATATAATTTATCAATATAATACTTTTCTATTCATTAATATCTTAAATTAAATTTATTTACTATATTATTTACTTATTCGTTGATATTTTATATTAAATTTATGTATCCTATTATTCATTATTCTTGTGAATTATATGATGATTTGTTTATTATAGAAAGCTAATATAATAATTGTAATTGTGTATTTTGTGTTTTGTATTTTACAAAATTAGTTTATATATTTTTTTTTATAAATTTATTTGTAAAAGCTAATTTAATTTCCATAATTAATAAAAATTAGTTTTTATTTTTCTTTAACATTGATCATGGCTACATTTATCATATCGGTTACTTAAGGTTTTTCCAATTACGTCATAAAAAAGAAATCGGTTTTACTTAAATAATACAATGATCAAAGTGGATAAAATATTGAATGAATTTTATTTAGGTTTTTCTTCTAATCTTTTCCTAAATGTGAATTTCGTTAATATTAGGTATTTCCTGTATAAATATTATTCCTCAAAAATTGGTTCAAGAATTAAAAATTAACATAAAAGAAAAAGTCACCTCACTTCATTCAAGGAACGAGCCAACCCTACTTTCTATAATTAGAAAAACAAAAAATTTACAGCAGCTTCGATGACTAGGGAAAACGTACCACAAAGATAGTCAATTCGGGAAAAAACCGCCGAGACTACCCTACGGAAAGGAAGAGTTACCTAATGATAAATCTATTGCAACATGATACTCTCAACCTTCAGGAAATTGTTTAGGAAAAATTCTGCCAGTGGAAATCAAACTCAGCCAGAGTCACCACGTCTACCCTCCGGAAATTCTATAGGAGAATATTTACCAGATAAGATTACCCTCAACCAGGACTACCAGGACTACCCTCCGGAATTTTCTTAGGAGAAACTCTGGCCAACAAAAATTATCTCAAGCCAGAAATAAAACGACTACCCTACGGAAAATACCTAGGCACCACTTTAACCAGAAAAAATCTTACTAGGCCACAACTAGAAGGACAACCCTACAGGAGAAGTTTGAATCACCAAGGCTTCATTTAACGAGATATTATAAATAAATATGTTCAAGTTTACCTCGATAATATTATCATTTATTCAAAAAAATTTCAATGAACATGTTAAACAGGTACAAACTGTCCTACGGCTACTCATCGATAACCAGTTATAGGCAAAATTTCAAAGTGTGAATTTCACAAGAATTGTTAAGAACATGACAACCCTACGGAGACTGACATTCATGTACTTTTTATGATAGGATGAGGTATTCAAAATAATATATACATATATTTTTCTTTTGTAATAAAATCATTCATTATAAAAAAATTTATAGAAATATATTTCAATTTTTAAATAAAAAATTAAGTTTTATAATATAATTAAAATTGATACTTAGAAATAAATTTTTTTATTAATAGCTAAATAATTATTATTTAATTATATAATTCCCTTATATTGAATAAAAAAATATTATTAATTAATTATATAATTTCCTTATATTGAATAAAAACATATTAATATTTAATTATATAATTCCCTTGTATTGAATAAAAAAATATTATTATTTAATTATATAATTCTCTTATATTGAATAAAAAAAATATTATTATTTAATTATATAATTCTCTTACATTGAATAAAAAATATTATTATTTAATTATATAATTTCCTTATATTGAATAAAAAAATATTGTTATATATTATTTTATCTAAAAAAATAAAATAAAAAAACGTCACCTACAGGACTCCAACCAGCACTCCCAAAGGGAAATGGGTTAGCAGGCCACCAGATTAACCACTCCGCCAAAGTGACGACATCTGTCCAATATGTATACGTGACATGTAGAAATAGACTAATTTACCTCATATTTATAGTTTAACTGTGACGAATATTGTATTAGAAAATTGAAATTCACTAATAGATCATTTGAAATTGAATTTCGTTGTTAACAATCTAATTATAATTCGATTTCATTATCAAAATCAATATTAAGAAACATTTAGATAAAAGATATTAAGGGTGTGGACAATTAAAAACAAGATTAAATCAATTTAAATTAACTCTTAAATAATTAATAAAAATATTAAGAAGATAAATAATTCTTTAAATAATGGCGAAAACTCTTATTTTTTGTTGAAACTTTTTATGCTCATTCGGAAGTTTTGCTTGAGATCTACAATATTATATTCTCTTCCTAGTCTAAATAAAAAGAAAAAAATCTACAAAATATATTAAATTCAGCTCATTTGGACTTTAAAGATTTTAATTATATAAATTTTAATTTTATTATTTACAAAGGCCTCTAAATTAGAATTTCATAAATAGGACTTTAAATTTCTATTTCTTACAATTTTATAAGATTTTTAACAAAAAAATTATTAATAAATTAGATAATCAATTATTCAAGATTATATTAAAATAAAATCATTAATAAAAGTTAATTTAAACTAAAATTTATTAAAAGAACGTTTTAACGTTTTGAGCGTTTCAAATATATAAGTTTTTATAAAACGAAAATTTCTTTTTCTTAATTATATTTTTATCAATATATTAATTACTTTAACTTTATTAAAATTAGCTAATTTATAAAAAACATCTTGACTTGTCCATTTTCCTCAAAATACTCAAAACTTTTACATCAATTTAATTTTATGATTGGGTCTATATTAATTTAATATAGTATATAATATTATTATTTGATTTTTATTTAAAAATAATAAAAAATTCTTAATTTAGTAAATGGTTTAGTATAATTAAATTATTAAATATTGCGACTTATTGCTAATATTATTAATTAATAAAATTAGATTTTGTAAAATCGAATAGAAGTATAAATACTAAATAAAATGAAATTAAAATAAAAATTTAAATTAAAATTGTTTTATTAGAATCATTAAAATTATATTATAAGAAAGTTTTGTTGTTTAATTTTAAAAATATATAATTTTTATTTATTTAATTAATATTCTTATATAAATTAATCATTAAAATTGAATATTAAATACTAATAAAAAAATAAAATAAAATATTTGTTATTTGTAATAATTTATTTATTATTATTAATAATAAAAAGATTGATTATTAAAACTAATAAATATATATTTATTACTTTATTTAACATTTTAATAATGAAAAATTGATTATTAAAAACAAATAAACTAATAAAATAAAAGCAATTTTTTTATTTATTGAAAATTTTTATTAATGAAAAATAATTTTTTTTATGAAATGTTTACATGATTTTTACATTTATGATTTTATTTATATTCATAAATAAATTATATAAGGTTCATTATAGCGATAACCCTCCATAAGACAAAGCAAAATTTGAAAAGGTCTAGTAGAATCTTTTTAATCAACAATAACCCTCTACCAACTACAATGTTGGTAAGCGAAATCCATATTTTGCCAGAGTACTAGAAAATTTTGTTGTACTCAAGGAAAATCAACAACCCTACGGATTCAACACGATGTAAAGAATTTTTAATTTGCCTGGACCTATGCTCTACTATATAGATATTATCCCTTCATAATTGGTTCAATAATTAAAAATTAAAAAGAAAAGCCACTTCAAATCAGTAAAAGTAATAGAAACGAGCCAACCCTAACCCCTACTATACCTAGAAAAACATATAATTTATTGCAGCTACGATGACCACGGAAAACGTACCACAAAGATGTTCTATTAGAGAAAAAAATCCTAGACTACCCTACGGAAATGAAAACTTGCCTAATGACTACCACTGCTAATGAAGGAGGCAATTTAAAAAGATTAGAAGTTAATAAAAGATTACAAGAACTACTTAATAAATCAAGATAGTAAATTTATTGTATCAAGATGTTCACAACTCTCCGGAATTTCTCTTGGACAAAATTCTGCCAGTGGAAATCAACTTCAACCATAGTCACCACGACTACCCTCCGGAAAATCTATAGAAGAAAATTTTACCAGTAAAGATTATCCTCAACCATGGTTACCATAACTACCCTCCGGAAATTATTTAGGAGAAACTTTGGCCAGCAAAAATTATCTCGAGCCAGAATTAGAATGACGACCCTACGGAAAATCCTTAGGCACAATTTTAGCCAGAGGAAATACTGCTAGGCCACAACGGACACGACAACCCTACAGGGGAAGTTCGAGACGAATTTAAAACTGCTTTTTGTTCCAAATATGGACACTTTGAATATACAGTGACGCATTTTGAGCTTACCAATGTCCCTGCTGTTATTCAAGGATTTATTAACACCATTCTACGTAATGTTATAAATAAATTCGTTCAATTATACCTCCATGTTATTATCATTTATTCAAAAAAAATTTCAAAGAACATGTTAATCAGGTACAAACTGTCCTACAGCTATTCATCGATAACCAGCATGTGGTCACAAATTCCAAGTATGAATGTCAAGAAATTGACAACCCTTCGGACGACGCTTGCTTGATCATGTACTAACTACTAACTTTTGATCTAATCTGGTTGAGGCCTGCCTACTTCAACCCATTCCCATTTTATGTAATAATACAAATACTATATTTTTTAACAATTAAAAAAAAAATTTTTTTAATAGGAAGAGATATTCAAATAAAAATATATATATATAAAATTTTCTTTTGTTATTAAATCATTCATTATTAAAAAATTTATAGAAATAATTTTCAATTTAAGAATAATTTTTAATAAATAATATTTCATTTATAATTTTAAGTAAAAAAATAAATTTTATATATAATAATTAAAATTAATACTTAAAAATAAATTTTAATTTTATATAAATATATATATATATTTATTTTTTTTTAAAAAAAAAAAGGTTTATTTTATTTTTAAAACAAAATAAAATATGATATATTTTTATTAATTTTATTTATCTATTTATTTTTTTTTTAATGGTTAATTGATACTTATTAAAAAACTTATAACTCACAGTTCAAAAATAATTAATAACTATTTAAATATAAAATAAAAAGAAAAAAAATTTAAGTATAATTACTTTCAAAAAACATTTTTATTGTTAATTATAATCCTTTTATTAATATATTAAAATATTTTTTATTATTTATAATTTAATATTTATTTATTATCATTATTATATATTTATTTATTATTAATAGTGTATTTTCATTTTATTTATTATTTATATTAATTTTATAAACAATTATTACTATTTTTATAATAATTTCTATTATTACTTTTGTTATTAATAGCTAAATAATTATTATTTAATTATGAAATACCCTTAAATTAAAAAAAAAATTATTATTTATTAATTTATTTGAACAAAATAAAATAAAAAGACGTCACCTGCAGGACTACAACTTGCACTCCCAAAGAGAAATGGCTTAGCATGACACCACATTAACCACTCCGCCAAAGTGGCTACATCCGTCCAATATTTATACGTGACATATATAAATATATAAATTTACCTTATATTTATAGTTTAACTGTATCGAATATTACTGGATTTAAAATTGAAAATCACTAATAGATCATTTGAAATTGAATTTCGTTGTTGACACTCTAAATTATAAATCGATATCATTATCAAAATCAATATTAAGAAACATTTAGACAAAAGATATTAAGGGTTTGGACAATTAAAAACAAGATTAAATTAATTCAATTTAACCATTAAATAATTAATAAAAATATTAAGAAGATAAATAACGATAATTCTTTAAATAATGGCGACAACCCTTATTTTTTCGTTGAAATTATGCTCATTCGGAAGATCTGCTCGAGTTCTACAATTTTATATACTCTTCTTAGTCTAAAGAAAAAGAAAAAAAATCTATAATATATATTAAATTAAGCTCATTTGGACTTTAAAGATTTTAAATATATAAATTCTAATTTAATCATTTACAAGGGCTTCTAAATTTGAAATTAGAATTTTATTGAATAAATATTTAAATCCTTTATTAAGTTATTTTTTTGTAAATTGAATATAATAATCCAGAATTAGTAATTAATAATATCTTTTAATATTTTTAATGAGATCTATATAGTTTTAAATATATTATTAATTATAATTATTATTAAAAACTTTACAAATATTTAATTAAATAATTTCTGAAAGGTTCAGATGAATTCTTTTGAATTCTCTAGGTTTCCAAAACACCTTTTTGATATCTTAAATTACTTTAATTATTTGTAAATTGTTATTTATTATTAAATCTATATTAAAATATATATTTAATAATAATAGTTTAAAATATAATATTCAATAATAATTAATTAATTAATATAATTAAATAATCTTGGTATTAGAAATTTATCGATAAATTATCAATCATTATTCTTATGAATTATATAGTTTTAATTATTAGATTTTATCTATATTACTTTATTATGATTATTTTTTTATATAAGTATAAATAGGACTTTAAATTTCTATTTCTTACAATCTTTGTAAGATTATTAACAAATAATTATTAATAAATTATTCGAGATTATATTAAAATAAAATCATTAATAAAATTATATTTAAATCTAAAATTTATTAAAAGAATATCTTAATGATTTGAGTGTTACAAATTTATAAGTTAAATAAACAAAAATTTCTTTTTCTTAATTATATTTTTATCAATACATTAATTACTTTAATTGTATTAAAATTATCGAATTTATAAAAAACATCTTGACTTGGCCATTTTCCTCAAAATACACAAAACATTTACATAATTTTATGATTGGATCTATATTAATTTAATATAGTATATAATATTATTATTTGATTATTATTTAAAAATAAAAAAGATTCTTAATTTAGTAAATAGTTTAGAATATTCTAGTATAATTAAGCTA